TTAAAAAAAAAAAAAAAAAAAAAAACATTTCTATAAGCTTATTTTATTTTTTTTTTTTTTTTTTTAGAAACAAAATTTTTTTATATATCAACACAAATACAAAATGATTTAAAAAATATAAAAAATAAAATAAAAAGAAAAAAAAAAATAAAACTAAAAAAATTAGTATAAAATATAGAGGTAACAAAAGAAATAAAAATAATTGTAATAAATATAAAATTAAATGTAATTTTAAATAAAAAAGTGTTGAAAAAAAAAAAAAAATGTGTGTAAAATGTGTTCCAATTATTTTTTTAAAAATTATGCAATCCTATACATATATATATATATATTTTTTGATAAATTAGTAATTTAAAACATCTCTTAATAATAATTTAAAAATAAAATGTTGATGTTTCATAAAATATTTAGAAACAAATTTACCTTTTTTAACTTGTCTTAATTTTTTTTTTTTTTATTTTTATTAAAATATATTTAAAGTTTTACAAAAAAATATATGCTTCTTAATGAAGTAGTAATGAAATATTAATTTTTTTTTTTTTTTCAGTACATTTTATTTTAAAAATTTTTTTTTACAAATATATATATGAATAATTCTAATGTAATATACTGTTTAAATATATTATCATTAACTATTAAAATATTAATAATAATACAGAAAAGTTAAAAACAAAAATATATATTAATTTTAAAATAAACTTAATGTAATCATATTTAAAGTCATATAGAAGTAATACTTTTTTATATTTTAATTTAGAATATTCCTATATATACTATAATAAAAAAAAAAAAAAAAAAAAAAAAAAAAAAGTATCTTTTTTTTAAGGGTAAAATATATTGTTTAATATCTATTAAAGTAGAAGACAGTTATTTATATAATATTTAGAGAAATATAAAAATCGAAATATTTTTAATAAAATGAGAAATAATTAAAAAATAGAATTTATAGATTTATCTTATTTTTATTAAAAAAATCTTCATTTTTTATATTTATTTTTATAAAAAAACCAAAATTAAAATACTTTTTTTTTTCGTTTAAATGTAAAAATATTAGAAGAAATAGAATATAAAAACATTGAGGAATAAAAGTAAATGTATAGCTATTTTCAAATAGTAAGTTATTTTAAATTTTTATTGTCATATATTTACGTATGTAATAAATTTGTAAACGTTTTAAAAAAAAAAAGTTTTCTACAATAATACTTATATAAATCATATAGAAAAAAATGCATTGGAGTTCTATAGTATTTATAATTTATATATATTTTATCTGTAGATAATCTTTTTTTTTTTTTTTTTTTTTAATACAATAATTACACCCATTATATACTTTTTTTTTTTAGTTTTTGTATAAAAAAACTTTTTATTTAAACAGAGAACACATTAGTATAAATTATCTTTTAAAAATAATGTATAATTTTAATTAAAATTTTTAAAATATACTTTAAATGTTATATTTAAAAGTTTAAATTTAAGAAAAGTATAGTTTAAAAATTATTTTAGCCTCAAAAATAAGAAAGATGAAATGTGTAGATAATATATAAATTAAATGAAATACTTCTTTCCTTATTAAAATATCTATATTCATATATATGAATATTTCTATAAAAAAGAAAAAATAAAAGTAAAAAAAAAGATGTTAAATATTTATAAATAATAAAATATTTAGAAATTGACTACTAAATAATTAAACATTTCATTTTTTTTTTTTTTTTTTTTTTTTTTTTCTTTCATTATGGTGATTTAAATAATGCAACAAGAAAATATTTAAATTTTTAAAAAGAAAAAATAAAATTATAAAATTAAGAATTTTTTAAATAAAAATGCCAAGATTTGAATATATACACATTTGTATATTTTATTATATATTTACTTTTTTTTTTTTTTTTTTTTTTTT